CCTGTTTTAGTGCTGACAACACTGAGGACTATCAGCTTGTGCACAGACAAATAGGGTGATGTTATTAGAAGTCACCTGCTCATTCATTGTATAGCATGAAAATGTTATTTTCTGGTCCTTCACAGCAAAGACCATCTCTATCATTTGTATGCAGCTCTCAGCAGTAGGACTTTGTTGGCAAATCTTGATTGGTGTGCTATGTAGAAACTGTTTTTATTTTTGATGATGCACCAGAGATTTTTGAGAAAAAATAAACTGCTTAGAGAAGTTTTATAGACAAGCAAAGTTCTCCTTTCAGAGCAGTTCTTAAGGCATGAAGAAAGATTAGGCTGCACTGAAGTACTGAGCAGGAGGACAACATTCACCACATGTTTTACCCTGTTATGCAAGAAATACCTTTAATTTCAGTGGAACCAAATATGCAGTGAGGTACATAAAACTGAAAACTATGTCTCCTACTCATTTTGGTCGAGTTTGAGCTCACACATAAATTTTCTGTATCTCATAGGAGTCATGTTGTCTTTCCCACAAAAGGAGAGTCTTGCTACTTTGTCTGGATTGTTTAATGATTTGGTATCAAAGCCCTGACATGAGGTTTGGAGAATCTTGTTCTCCTAGAGTCAAACTGCTTTCCTTCCCAAACTGAGAATGGCTTTTGGGCAAAGCCTCTGGATCACTATTTCAGGCAAAACCAAATTGACCAAGCTTTACTCACAGAGTTTCAAGTTGCTTTTATGTGACACTATTTTGATCATGGTCTTAGAAGTGCTATTACTAAAGTGCTCCCAGGAAATTGCAGGAAGGATCCAGATGCTGTTGCAATATACATCTTTTATTTAAGGTTATCAACATTTTAAAATTCAAAACAGCATTCAAGTAACCTTTTTGCAATGCTTACCTAGTTTTGGTTTTTCAGAGCAAACCATTACCTAGGAGCATATATTAGGAAAGAAATCCTTTAATCCTATTTCCTTACTTTTCTACTTTCGTAACTCAAAACCAGGCTCTTGCAACTATAAGGAACCCTCTTATTTTGATGGTCTCCACCTTTGTCAATCAGTTTCTGTTTCAGACTGATCAAGCGCTTGCACTAAGGGTGCTCTATCATGACATTTCTTGGTGGTGAAAAGCAGTAACAGCCAGCAGACATAGAAACTCATCTGAGCACATCACGAGCAGCTTAAACTGCCTTGATTATGTGATATACAACATTCAGTGCATGGCTGTTCTCTGTGAGCCAGACTTCTCATAAATACTTGCTGCTTGCTTGCTCAGCCACACTACATTGGACTTCCCCAGGATGAAAAATTTTGTCTGAGAAACATTACAATTTGCAGCTGAGTAATCACCTTCCCTGCTAACCTGCTTTTCTGGAGGACAGCATACTGAGAGTTTGATTCCAAAGGACAAAATGGTGAAGAGAAATGAAAATATTGTTGTGGGACACATATTGAGAAAGTAAAAAAATTACAGTCTGAAAAATATTCCAGGCTGGAGCTTTTCAGCTCTGTTCCCAGCTGGTCCAGCTCAAGGCTAGGGAGAATTTCTCCCAGAGTGATCATTTGGTCAAAATAGAAAGGATTTAATAATAAGATAGAACACCTGTTGTGGTGTGTGACCAAGCCCTGGGAATGGGGTGTCTTCTCTCTGAACCAATCACCTTTTCTCTACCCTTGGAATTGCGAGTCATGCTATAAAACCAAGTGTGTTTCTGAATAAACTTGTATCCTTCTTCCTGTCATGAAAACAACCATGTAGCTGTGCATCTTATTTCCACTGCACTTAAAGGGTTAAAACCCCTTTCCACGGCTACATATTGTCACTCAGATCTGTTTCTTCTCTTCGGTGAAATGAATTCCTACTCCCTTCAGTTCCTCCTCTTAAAATATCATGAAACTTCTCTTACACAAGTGTCCAAGTTTGGCTGCAGCACTGTGAAAACATTCCCATGTGTATATTCAGCCATCTACACATTCAGATAATTTAAAATGTTAGTGTTCACTTTGGAAAGATTGTATTCACAATAAACCTTTCTCTTCCCCCATTCTATATTTTCATATTAAAAAAAAAGTTTCCCTTTATTTATCATTAAATTCAACTCCCAGTAAGAATCTGCATAAGGGAATAAAACAAGTCTTCAGAGCCTTCTACAATTAGCATATTCTCATCATACTCCAGTAATTATCTCCCTTGATACTTCAGTTGGGATGCCACACTGCTCTCATCACTACAGCATTCCCATGGGGGAAATTAAGAGGCAAAACACTAAGATTACTCAGATTCCACATTTGCCATGTGCACATCAGTGCCCTCACGGTCAGTCCTTGTGCATCTGACTCTGGCCAACAAATCCCTTACCAGCAACCAAAGCCAGCACAAATGTGTTTGTGCCAGGCCACTGATGCAGGTCAAAAGCACAAAACTTGTTCTTTATTTCTAGGGAGAAAAGATTCTTTAGTGAATCAGCGTTGCTCAGAGCTGCTCAGGAGGTGTCAGAGAGAAGAGTGTTTGGGGGTGTTAAAGGGTTTCACACATGGTGCTTTTGTTCCTTTTTTTTCTCTTTGCTGCCTCCTCCATAAATAACCTCAAAAAGTCAATCATTTAATTCTCCTTCTCTACCTGCAGGACCCATTGAGTACATTATTCTTCTAGTCCCAGAAAGTGCTTGGCTCCTTTCCCAAGGCCCTAACTTCCTTTTTATCTTCAGGTGGCGTAAAGAAGTCTGTAGACCAAGTTAAATTTCTTTATTCTACCAAAAAAAGACATTTTTCTAATTTCACAATTCAGTATCCCTACATCTCAGCTAAGCCTCTATCCATTACTATCCCAGAAATCACCAATGGCCACTTCACAAAACTATAAAAACAATTCATACAACTCCAACGTTATCCACCCCACCCGGTGTAATGTGTGTAGAAAGGAAAACAACCCTCGGAATCCGAGCAGTTTCTATCAGCCATAGCTACTCCAGAGGACAGTGTGAAGCCAGGTTTGTCTAAATCAAAGCAGGAAATTCGAGTTCTAAGCTCTTACCCAGGATTGCCCAGAGATGCATTCTCGCTTCGTTTGATTTGCACTGAATGGGCATCAGCCATTGCCAAATTTCAGGACAATCTGTCTGATAAATCATGACTGACACTACATTGTATTGCAGGAATGAGCTGTTTATGTCACTGTTGCCAACATTATGCAACTCTTTAGAAATGGTCAGAAAAACAGATGTGTGGTACACAAAGTCCAGGATAGTCATGTCTGCTCCTCTTCCATCAAGCTCCCTGCCCTAACTTCTGATCTCAGGGAGCATCTGCAAAGCCCATGAAAGCTGACAGGAAATTCTGCCATGTTTCTGAAGAGGGAGATGAATTTCAGTACTTGATTTATTGGAAAATATTAGAACACAATCCCATCACACATTTCCTATGTGATGCTTTACAATATTTCAACAATTTAAGAGTATAAGCAATGAGTATTTCCAAGTTGTAGGTACACTATAAGAAATCCTACTCAATAGAGATTTTCTCTTCTGTTCTTTGCTTTTCTTAAACCAGTTGCACAGGAGAAAAATCCATGGAGCACCACAATAAGTACTTACTGCCCTTCCAATCAATGGATGATTTACAAATCCACTTTGGCTGAAGTTCATGATCTTAAACAAGAATTGGACAGAACCTTACCTAGAAAGGAAGGGAATATCCATGCCTTTGTGTTTGTGCATTAGTGTTATATATCTGAGATACTTATTTTAAAAGCCAATGCCACAATTTCAGTTTTAGGAGATGTGCACAAAGTTGTGGATGCTCTTCCCCTTCTACTCATATGGAGTGCCAAGGCATAACCCACAAGAAGGAGGTCCTTAGTAATTAGTCTCAGTGATTTAGGAAATACAGTAGCTGCAGCTTTAGTTTTCAGTTGTCTCAGAGACAAAGCCCCCAACCCAACAGTTCCCATTATACCCTCACACCACCTCTTTCCTCACTATATATGATTTCGGCTTGAATTCCTGAATCTTTTAGGAAGTTGTATGAACATCCAAGTTCAAAAAGGGAACGAGTATGGACGGGATAAAACAGCCTGTCAGAGGAGGAAAGAGCCCAGGTAGCTGGTGAGCGTTTGCAGCCTGGGGTGGGCTGTGCACACCCGACTGTGGAGCGTGTCTGTGCTGCCTTCAGTGATGTGGCGGCCGGCCTGGGCCCGCGGAGCGCCTGGCGACAGCGGCTGCGAGCCCCGGCGGGGATGCAGCTGTGCCCGGCCCTCGCTCCACAGCACGGGGACACTTGCTTTGACTGGAAGTGTGGCTGGAGCAGCTGGGAAATGTAATTTCACAGCAGCAAAGAGATCGCGAGTAAACGAGTGTTTTTAAACGTGGGCAAAGCAGCTGCTACTTCAGTCTGTTTGTTGGGACTGTGTCTGGTACAGCGCAGAATCAAAAAAAGCTAAATAATGTGTAAAACAGGCAGAAAAGTGATGCTGTACATCTGAACTCTCGGGGCAAACCCCGCAGCCGTTTCTGCTGGACCCGGGCCCGGCCGTGTCACACGGCTCGGCCCTCGGGCCCTGCGCGGCCGCCATCTTCCCCCGGGGCCGGGCAGGGAACCGCCTCCCGGCCAGGCTCTGCCCCTCAGCGGAGCCGCGGCGGCCGCTGCCACCTCCCGGTACGGCCGCGGACAGCGGCTGCCGGGGCCGCCCGAGGCCGGCAGCGCCTCGCCCGCTCGGGGCCGCCCCGGGGCCGCTGCCGGGTGGGCGTGGGCGGGGCCGCCTCACGCCAGGGGCGGGGCCGGGGCCGCGCGAGACAGCGCACTGCGCACGCGCACCGCGCCGACGCCCCCGGCACGGGGCTGTGACGGCGTAACCAAAGCTGCGTTAGCCCCGCCCCCGGGGTGTCCCTCGTGACGGACACTTGAACTGACCAATGAGCGCTGGGAATCCCTCACGGACCGGCGGCACTCGGGCGGTGGTGGCCAATCGGATGCTGGGGGCGGGGCAGGCCGGCTGCGCGTTCCCAGGCGCCTCGGCCGGGCTCTCAGTGCGCTCGGGGCGGTGCCGGCGCTCGGAGTGTTTGGGGCCGGTGGAGCGACGGGCGGGCCCGGCATGGGGGTGAGGTAGGGCCGGCCTGGCGCACGGAACGAGCGCAGCCGGCTGTTGGGACCGGGTATACGCGGCGGTGGGACGCGGAGCCGGGCGGAGGATGGAGGACAAGAAGGAGGAGGGCGAGGCGGAGATCCAGGAGCACGGGCCCGAGCACTGGTTCAGCAAGTGGGAGCGGCAGTGCCTGGCTGAGGCCGAGCAGGAGGAGGCGCTGGCGCCGGAGCTGCAGGACGAGGCGGCGGCGCAGCCCGAGCACAAGCAGCAGAAGCTCTGGCACCTCTTTCAGAATTCGGCCACCGCCGTGGCGCAGCTCTACAAGGGTGAGCACGGCCAGGGGCTGGGGAGGGCACAGTTGGGGCGGCTGCGGCCAAGAGGCCGGGGGAGCCCGGGCGCGGTGGACTCGGGGCCCGGACAGTGAGGGGTGGCGGTGCCGAGCAGCCGCGGAGCCGCCGGGGTGGGGAGGTGCCCGCAGCGGTACAAAGGGGCCGAGGCTGCGGGAGGAGCGGCTGCCGGGCCGCGGCCGTCCTCAGAGACGGACGGGAAAACAAAATGGCGAGAGGGAGGGGGAGCCGCGGTCGCGGCCCGGACAGCGCCCGGCGCGGCCTCCGGGGCGGCTCCTGCGCCGGCCCGGCCCGGCCGCACCCCCTCCCCCGTTGGCAGAGCGCGGCCGCGGGGTGTCGGGGCGCTCCGGTGGGGGCCGCTCCGGACAGCGGGGGCGAGCCCCGAGTGTCGGGGTGGGTGGGGGGGGTGCCGGGAAGCCCGGCCCTGCCGGCGGCTCCCGACGCCCAGCCCCGGGAAGAGACTCCCGACAAAATGGCGAAGCGGGGCCGGGCTCATTGTGCGGCGGGGCCGGGGCGGGGGCGGCCGGGCGCTCCCCGCCGCGCCGGGGGCACCGCGCCCGCTGCCCCGGCCGGGCCGCTGCCCGCCCGCCCCTCTCGGCCCCGATCCGGAGCTGCCTCCGGAAGGTGGAACAAAATGGCGAAACCTAACATGGCCGTTCGGAGCGGGTGACTCCAAAATAAACAGCGTGTGTCCTTCCCTCCCTGCAGACCGGGTGTGCCAGCAGCCGGGGCTCTCCCTCTGGGTCCCCTTCCAGAACGCCGCCACTGCGGTCACCAACCTCTACAAAGGTAAGGGGCTGCCCCCCCGCTGCCCCGGCAGCCCTCCCCGCCGAGCCGGGCCCCACTCTGCCTCCTGCCCCGGCTTACTCATAAGTAGGGCCTGTTAATGTCTCTTATTCACCCTGATAAAATCTAACCCGAGACTGCTTCCTGAATCTTGCAGGTTTTCCTTGGGCCACTTTAGCTGACGGTAGCTGAATCTTTTCTGTTGCCTCATGTCAGTGACTCATAAACTTAAAGGCTCTTTTACTTTAGGACCCTTGAAAAAGGGTGTCTTTAATGTGTCTGTTTCTTGTGAATGCAAGGCAAGCGTACAATGGCTTGTTAAACGGTACTGAAATTCCCTGCATTGTTTATATTTCATGGTGCATTAGATGTTGGGGTGCCAGTATAATGCCTTGTCTTTTGTGGTGAAGCAACGTTGGGTTTAATGTTCATAAAATCCTGCAGAGATGTTATGTGACAGAAAGTTTTGTCTTCTTGTGGCAGTGAGGCCTCTTAAGTAAGCATACCAGTTTATTTTAAGCACTAGAATGTCATTATGGCTGTGTCCAGCGTGGCTGTAAGAAGGCAGTGTTAGTCAGAACTTTGATAGGAGTATGCTCTGCGTGTGGCTGTGTTTTAGTGCTGGTTTACTGGCTGTTTCTGAACTCTGCAGTTCTTTGGGCTGTCACAGGAATTCTTGTTTGCAAAAGGATCATTCAGTGGTTTTTGCTTTGTTTAAAAGGTTGTGCTAAAATGATACATGTCAGTGAAGGCCGAAATTGGCACATTGTGATTCCCATTGTTACTGCCTTCCAGTCCAAGGAAGGGAATAGCTTTAAAGTTCCAGATGTTTGTTTTTCTGACTTATAGTTTGATTTTTTTTTTCCCCCTTGTTGTTTTTTTTTTTTTTTTTGGGGGGGGGGGCAGGAGAGCAGTATTAATCTAAATTCACAAAAACTTTCGCATTTGGAAGCTGCTTGGAACTTATTTGAGCACTTAGTTGATTCTGGGTTCCAGGTGGAAAATGTGGTGTAGCACAGCTTCAATTGTAAATTGCTTCATGATACAGATTTCAGGGCTTTGCTTTGGATTTTAATGGATCCAGAATCAAGAGATAAGGTAGAAGACATTCCAAAATAAGAAACTAGGCTAGCTGAAATTTCGGATTTTTTACTTTTCAGATAATTTCTTTGTAATTTCCAGAAAACCTAATGTGCTCTCAGAGCCAGTAGGTTATGAATTAAATTATGACATTAAAAGGAGAAAATAATTACGGTATCTGAAAAATTGACACTAGAATGCTTAATATCTCTAAAAGAACATCAATGTTCCTTGTCAAACCAAAGAAAATCACCAAGATCTTGCAGTTTCCTAGGTCACAGAACAGGACACCAAAGAGCTCCCTTGGCTTCTTTTACTGAATTTACTTTGTGTTTAAAATGAAATATAGCTCATGGAAACTGTCATTTTAAAATGAAATTCACTATATTCTGCCAATGTTACAAGAATAAATGTTTAATTCCACTTCATGCTGTACAAATATAATAAACGGGGATTTCAAAGCGGCAAAATGAAGCACTGGAATTGTGAACAAATCATAAATGTATTTGCCATCCTGACATGTGTATTCTGCTCTTCTAAACACATATTTCATGATCAAATAATGTAGAAATAATCTAAGAAACTTGATGTTCTGAATATTTAAGTGTTTGTTACCACAATCTTCCTGGGATTCATTCTCATATCCTGACAATCCAATCCCATCCATTCTTTTTGCAGAAACTGGGAGGGATAATCCCATCCATCAGTACCAGCTGCAGGAAGGGCAATGTGGGATGGACCGGCTGAAAAGCAGTTTTCCAGAAAAAAAGTTGGTGGTCCTGATGGGCAAGATGAACAGGGGCCAGCAATGGGCCTTTGCAGCAAAGAAAACACCTTGGGCTCCACTGGGAAAAATGCTGCTAGCAGATCAAAAGAGGTGATCCTGCCCCTCTACATCTCTCCAGGTCAGAACTTCCAGTAGAGGAAAGAACAGGGACATGCTGGAGCAGATCCAGTAAGGGACAGGAAGATAATTAAGGAATTGGAAAAACTGACAGATAGAGNTGACAAGTAGGTGATCAGGGAAACTAGAGTTTGAGTTAGAAGCTGACTTAGTCAGGTATAATGTAATACTTCAGAAACCAGCATCTGAAACAAATGTTTTCTTTAAACAGATCCTAAAGTGTTAAAGTACCAAAATTACTCAGGAATGCTATCTTTCAGTTTTCAGTTAACTTGCAAGTCAGTAGAAATTTGGTGATAAGATGGTAGAACCACCTGAACACTGTCATATCTGACAAGTTCGAATCTTACTGTGAACTTGTTTTCCCTAGTGATGAACATGGCTCTTAAAAAAAACTCCTGTTTTTCACATTCTCAGTACTGTTTGTTTTGGAGGACTCTGTCAAAACACTGGAGGAATACTTGGTGAACTGAACACCACAGACTGCCTCTTGCCTTGTCAGCTGCTTTCTGATCTGATAAATACGTGGATTTTTGAGGCATCATCTTTTTAACAAGAGCAACCCGAGGAATGGTGCATAATGAGAATGCCATGATATCTTGAATGTCAGCATTTCTTCTGAATATAGATTCGAAGTTTCATATCACACCACACTGATGGTCTCATGTCCTGAATTTCTGGTGCTGGTGATAGAGACTGAATTCAAGGCACTTCATTATTTTGCAGCTTGCACTAAAAAAGTGAAGGCATGGCTTGTAATAGAATTTAGGACTTAAGGCCACTGTGGAAAGTTCTAGGTATATATTAGAATAAAGCTTTTGAGCCTACAATTTACCTTGTTTTTATGAAAAAAACCCTGAATGTTTTCTAATCTTAATTTTGACTTAGTAATTTCAGAATATGTGCAGCTTGACTGCTTAGGTTTTGCCAGCTTAACTTTGCAAACAAAGTAGTTGTGGCTTTTACCATAAAAATCTAATCTACCTGGGTAATGATGCTTGAAACTTCTCTGGGCTGCATCAGCAATCAGTGTTTGACCTCGTACCTAGTTCACAGTTAGCACTTTGTAAAGCATTCTCATACACAAAGAAAGCAGGGTATTGATGTGAAGTTGGCCTCCAGGCCTCAGAAGGACACTCCTGGTATTTCAGGAAGTGATTAAAGGAGCATTTTCAGTTTCCAAGTTGGCTCCAGAATGTTTGGGCAGCTTTTACTGCCAGTGCATTGGAGTCTGGGCTGCTGTGGAGTATAAAATGGCAGGAGGAATAATCTGTCATGTTGCCATTGCTTTCAGAGGAATTAGCATTTGTGAAGGTAGCCTTTAGATTACAAAGTAGTACAGGCAAAATACTCCTAGAGTGGCTGAAAGTAACAGGTTAAGTGTATTTTGTCTACCTGTTTATGCTCCAAGGTTTAACTCAAATTAGGTCTGTTGTTTGAAGTGCTGCTCTTTGACAGTGTAGATCTCAGTGCTGTCTTTTATGGACTGTGCAGTGGTGCCTTAGAATTTAAGTCCATGAATAGCATTTAATAGCAGTTCTTTTTGGGTTCTGGAGTGTGACAAAGCTACATTAGATATGTATGTCACTGTTTGTAAACCAGTATCTTGAGATAGCTGTTCTTGAAGAAATACCTTCATGTTCTGGGTAAATGGCTTTTGCCTTGGGCTTCATTAATAAAACAAGAATATAAAATGTTGTTTAAATCAGCTTTGCCGCATTGAAAAAATTCTGTGGAATTCAAATAAAATTGGAGTGGGTATATTAATGTCTTTTAAGGAACAAAAACAACATAGCAATAGTTTATATGAAACTGAAATAGGTGTTGTCAAAGGTCTGATAGCAGACATTTGAGGAACAAGATGAGCATAATTGTGTAGTGAACAGGATTTGTCCCACCTGTTACTGTGGTTTGAAACTTACTCAAACTGGTAGCCAGAAATACACTTCCTGAAGTTTGAAAGCAACTTAATACATGGCATTTAAGTCTTTTGGAGACACAGTTATAACTGATGTGCACAGGTGATTAGTTACATTAACAGAGTGAAATTGGTTTTTGTAGTAGGATGTATTGTAAATAGTGTGTTTAAAGCTTTTGTATATCAAAATTGCCATGGGATCCTAAAGGGGGAAGGAAACTTTCTTAGCCTTTGTAAATGGTATGTTGGCTAATGGAAAGACATTGGGGACACTTGTGTTCTAACTAGTTTCAAAACTATGGCCTGAGAATTGCCTCTGCAATTGAAATTCAGCTGAAAATAGAAAAACTTGAAAGCAACCTTGAGTTTTCTGGCAGTTTCTTACGTGTCAGGATGAAGAGAAGCAGTTACTCCTTTCTTATATTGGGACTTCTGACTGTGTTGTTACACTTTGTGTGTCTGAGTCTGTTGTCCATTGATTTAAACATCTTCCTCAGTCTGACAAGCTGTCAGTGTGGTTTTAATGTAAATAAACAGTGCTGTAGTGTCGAGCTGAAGTATAGTAAGTGGTGCTGGAGTTGCAGTCGACTATCTGACTTGTGAACAGGATGGAACGTTTTGGCTAATACTCTCTTCAGGTTTAATAGAGCTCCTCTTTGCTGCTGCAGCCACCTTGGTGCTGCCTTGTGGTGTAACCTATAGAAGATGTGGATACTACTTCTTCTTCCCATGGTTGACAGGAAGCCACATCAGTGCTGTGCCATGCTGTGCATTGCTGTGTAACACTAAGAACTTTTTTCTGTCTTCTTGCAGAGAGTGTGGATGCCCACCAGCGAAGCTTTGATTTAGGAATTCAGATTGGCTATCAGCGTCGGAATAAGGATGTGCTAGCCTGGGTTAAAAAACGCAGAAGAACTATTAGAAGAGAAGACTTGATCAGCTTCCTTTGTGGAAAAGTCCCTCCTCCAAGAAATTCTAGAGCTCCCCCAAGACTGACTGTAGTATCCCCTAACCGAGCTACTTCAACAGAAACTAGCTCGTCTGTAGAGACTGATTTGCAACCCTTCCGTGAAGCCATAGCTCTGCATGGTAACAGTCACTTTTTCAATACTACTTGGTTAAAATTGGGTGGGGGTTCTTAAAGCATGTTTGGCATACCATGATGTGCTGGGTACCTGGTGTTGCAGCTGAAGGCATCCCCTTCATTCTTTAAGGGAGCGTTTGCATGTACAAGGCATGTGTTGGCTGCTAAAAGTTTGTATAGTTGAGTATTTTGAATGGAGAAAAGGTATTGAATAAAAACGAAATGTGGGTCTGTAATATTGCACAGCTGTGAACTCAACAGTTAAGTAACAAGTCTTGGTAGTGTTTTTGAAGCATGAAGAGACTTGGCATTCATACCAATGCTAAAGTAAACAGAATTCTTGGAAAATGGCAATGCTATGCTAGCAACTAGTTAAATATTAAGATTTGACGACTAGAAAATTTTTGGGGTTTAGGGAGGGAATTTGATGTCTGAGGCTTCTGTCTCTAGCTTTCTAGTACCTTTGTTAGGCACTGGATAATGCAGTTGAGCATTCTGCTTAAAGTACCCTGGAAAGGGTGCTTCACTTAGACGTTTTTGAAATAATTGAGTGCTGTTCAGAGCTTTGTTATAGTTTACTTTCAGCTTTACACATCTTCCAGTGTCATACTGAATTGCTTTCCTTGTCATCACCAGCAATGTTGGTGGTGTATCTCTTTTCCGACATGAATATTCAGTAGCTCATTCTGTATTGGATTATGATTTAGTAAATGTGCTTTAAATTGCTCTTGAGGTGAGATGAGGTAGCACCTCTGGGCTTTATGCCTTCTAAAATTCAAAAGGGTAGCAGATATCTTGAGGTAGAAACCATAGGCCATTCTAAAAGTAAAAAAGCTATCTAGAAATGCAGCTTAAATGAAATTTTTACTGTCTGGATATTCTCAGTGGGGGAGTAGAATTGATGAGTTAATTAGAAGAGTGGATTCCTGAAAATGCAGTCTTGGCTTCTGCTGTGCTGTGGTGGTCTTTCAAGATACACAATGCAGACACTGTTACTGTCTAGGTGACAGCCTAAGTCTGGTATTATTTGCTGCCCTTTGCCATTTAAACCAAACATGCTTCCCCACCTAGTCATGTTGGTTTTGGCAGTGTTCTGTCTCAAACTGGAAGGGGGCTAGGGAATTCTGTGCACCACTGTTGCTTACTCAGTGTAGATAAAATTAATTTCATGAGAACAACTGCAGAAGCCAGCTCTCGCTGTGATAAGCAGATAAAGTGGTTTTCTGAAAAACAGTTGAATCTGTGGAGCTGGATTTAACTGTAAAGGCTCAGTCTCAGGTGAGAGGAAGCTTAGGTAGACCCACTTTTGGTACAGTGAGATGTCTGAGTAAACTCAAGCATTTTTACTGGTAATACAGCTCTTTTTGTGTCCATGTATTGTTTCCTAACATCTGCTTTGTACAGAGGAGGTTTATGGAAGTCACTTCTCTATAGCGTGAGGATCTGAACACTGATGTGTAAAGTTTCCCGTATTTCATAATGTAATGCAGGGTCATGAGGAAGTTCTGTCCTCTGCGGTGGTACTGCAGGGGCTCAGAATGTACTTTTCCCCTTCATCAGCTGGTTGACAAGATTACATATCAGTCACCTTCTGGATTAGCTTCTCCTGATACCAGTTTCAGTCTGGTTCTTGACAGAAATGCTTTTGTGCTAATCCTTTAGTGACTAGGGTTGTATTGGGCCTCATAACCGTTTTTAGGTTATTGCCTACAATGTCTGCATTGCTCCAGCTTCTCCCCCTTTTGTTGTCTTTAACATTAAGGAAGTTGAGATCAAGCAATCTCATGAACTCATTTCCTATTTATTGTAGGGCTTCTCAAAACTGTTTTGATTTTGAAACCTGCCAAGGATCTTCAGGTGTGTGTAAATTGTCCTCATTAGGCCTGCACTTACCATAATTTTTGGCACATTGTTTGGAAGTGCTGCTTCTAGGTATCAAGAGGGAACATGAGAACCTGATAATAGTGAGGAGCAGTCCAGGCACAGAGTTTTTGAGAGGAGTTTCTAACTGGCATGTAGAGGAGGGAGGCTGTTTAGTGCTGGTTTGCTTCCTGGTGGGAATAGAGTATTTCTTTATTGATCATGTGGAAGGTTTGAATTTGATTTGAAGGATAATACTAAAACTTTGCTGCTTACAGGAAGAGCTCTTTCAGTGAAGCTGGGATAGGTACGAGTAGCCTATGGCACCAAGTAAAGCTCAGTGCAAGCAGGGCTGGTGTATTGACTTCTCAGAAATAGGTACTAATACATGTCTAAAGACCACAGCGTTATAACTTGCTGATCTTCTCCTTTGATGGTGGAAAATACTTATTTTTTCATAATATAACTCTGTATGCATCATAAGCACATCTGAAAATTTTGACAGAAGCAGTGGTAACAAATTAGCTAATAATTCAATATTTCCAGGAACATCAAACACAATTCTAGGTGTGTGCTCTAGAATAAAACATTAGGAATTAGGATCCTTTAGACATCAGTACAGTCCTTAAACTGTATGCTTTCTAAGAAAAGAAATACCTTAAAACTAGATTTTTGGCCTTGTCTCTTCTGTCTCCAACCCTGTAACATCTGACCTGTGTTTATCTCTGCAAGATGGTTGACAGTTTTTTGGACAAGATGACCCCAGAATTTAATCTTGTGATACTGATTATCAAGTCTCTCTACTATGAGAAAACTTATCTTGAAAGCAGAACGGTAGAGAAGAACTTGTTATAGTTAGCTAAATGCAAAATGATCATGACAAAAAATTAGGCATGAGAATGTTTAAGATGTGTGATCTCCCTCTTCTTATAACTCCATGGCACCTATGCTCTGCAGTTGTTACTGAAATCTTAAGTGTTGCTTAGTGAGAATCAGACTTTGGAGTCTTACTCTAGAGAGAGTAAACTTTGGTAAGCATTTTCTTTTCCCTTATTATCAGCTTTTCATTGCTAGCATGCTGATGAGTAATCTTTGAAATAAAGCATAGCTGGTGACTTGAACTGTGGATATTTGCAAAGAAATTCAAGCCTTTAGAAAAGCTGAGTAGTTATCTCAAGTTTTCTCAAAGCATGGTGTTTTACTCTGAAGTTCCAGTGCAGTTTTCTGAAACTTGAATGAAAGATCAGTCTGATGCTCGGTGTTTTAAGATGTGGTAGTAGAAGATAATACATTTTTTGTCCAACATCTCAATTACAGAGTTGGGTTTTTAACTTCCATTAGTCCCTGAAATGTGATTGCAGGTAGGGAAAGTATGGACGTATCTTCACCTACTCTCTGGATGTGTATTGACATTTCCAGCTCTGTAAGAGATGAGTTTCAAAGGACAGAATTACATCAATCTGAGCTAACAGTACAAGATTCCCAAACACTGCCACGTGCTCAGCCACTTTGTGCCTGGCTGTAGCTGGTGTAGCAAGTCTGGTGCACAGCCCATGTCCTTTACATGTTTCATTGACTGTCGTCCCAGCACAGTGTGAGAAAATGCTGTGATGTGAGGAGGGGGAAGCAAGCTTGGAAATGTAATGTTGAAATGCATTTGACTTGAGCATTCTTAATCAAAAATTAGGTGAATTTGGGAAAAAAAATAGGGCAACGGTATAGTGAGAGAATATTAGTTCTTTTTCACCTTAGCTTTAATGTTGATTTATCTCATTCATGTGATTTGGTCTCTTCGGGGTAGGGAGAACATTTGCACATAGAAGTGTGTGGCCTGGCCCCTTAAGAGTCTGAATTTCCACTAGACCTTCATACTTGCTTCTTAGAATATTAAAGTGCAGTTTAAAATGGGAGCACTTAGCAGAGTGGAGAAGCAATAGTTGGTAAAAGAAGGGGATGGGAGAGCACTGTTCAGATTGGTCTGACACAGTTTAATTTAAAGGTTGTGTGTATATATAGCTGTGATGGAATTGTGTGTTGGTATGTGCTGCTAAAACTTGCTCTTTGAGCCAGTATTATGAAAGGGTGAATATGACAGAAGAGTGACAAGGATCTCTCTGCATGCCATTTTATATTTATCTGGGGTTATTAACTAATTCCTGCTTTAGTTACACTTATCTAAGCATGGATGTTCCTTTTGATACTTCCTGATTAAAACTTGTAGAAAATAATAGTTAGTACTATTGCTGTACTGAGCAGGAGCTACCCAGTTTACTATGCTGTGGTAGTGACCTGAATAACTTGTACATGGGCATGATTGTAGTGCAGATGAAACAGCATTTACAGTTTGTTAGGCCAGTGGTGATAATTGTCAACTCAAAATTAGCAAGTTTAAGTATTTTGTAATCCATGAAACATACTTTCAGTCACGCCTTCCAATATCTTGATAGTTTTGGAGTGTACTTAATTATAAATTGGCTAGTATTGTTCCTAGCTCTTTTTAATAGTACTAAAAGACCTTTAGAATATAACTTTTTGTAAAATGATTCTTATGAAACGTCATATTGTTGATGAAAGATATGATAGGAATGAGAATGTACTAGGTACTGCAGAATGTTTGAGACATGCCTTCCACTTCAAACCTTTTCAATTTAAGAAGGGGCTAAGAGCCATGTGTGCTTTCTTAAAGGCCTCTGATAATAAAGGAGATGTCCCTGGTAGAAACGAATGGGAGATTTCAGAGGTGGGTGTGAGATTGTGGGAAAAGTAAAGCCACTTCAGCAGCTGTTTGGATCTCTGTGCTGCTGTACTGAGGTTGGGAAATGGGATTTGCTGACAGTCATGTTACCACTTCTTAGTGTCAGTTATTGCTTTTAAATGCTTCAGGAAGAGCTCTGAGTCTGCTGAAAGCTAAAACTCGGAGTAATTCACAGTAAATGTTTTTTTTGAGATTTCCTCTGCTTGCCACAACTTCCCAAGGAAAAACTTAACTCTTTTCCCTGTTGACTAAAAGATTGTTTTGAGCTTTGCAGATTGTTCTCAAAGATGTTGGTTCTATGAAGTGCATCTTGATATTTGAATGTATGCCTTGAGTTTGCTTTGATTCTTCCATGTTAGCTCAGTTAGCCAATCCTAAACTGTGATCTGTTTCATTTGGCAGTTTTGCTCTCCTGGATGGATGGGCAGTGCTGTGTAATCTGGTTCCCTTCCAGGAGCTGACGTTGTCACTCAGTCTGTCAGTGTACCCAGCCATGACTCTTACTGGCACTAAATGCCTGTGTGAGAGGCAAGATTAACCTGTAGCTCAAAGTCCATGCTGTGATGCAGTATCCTTGTATTCTGATCTGTAGAAATTAATTCAAAGCTGCTCTCCTGCCTTAGACACCAAGTTGGATTGAAGATGTTAACTTCTAATTATCTCCTGAAGGTTGTTTGTGTATTTAAATGTGCAGTGATTCAGCATTACACTAAATACTGGGAAGTCAGTGGCTGCTTTAGGCATTGCTTGTGAACTTGGGCAGTCTGGTTTACAATATGCTGCAGTGTGTTACAGGTGCATCTTCTAACTGTGTCAACTATTTTAAAGAATGCTTGTTACTTGAAAAGGCTCCAGTTAAAAACATAGTTCTTGAGTGGTGCCAAAAAAATGTCTTTTCACATCACTGGTCAGTTCTGGAGTTTATTTAGAATAATTTTTCTTTCCTTACTTGGGCACTAGATGTAGTAAAAAGATGTCATGATAAAACTGAATTATTATGTTGCTCATTTGGTATGAGTTATATAACAGTAAATGACTGATAAGTGCTGTAAATGTTGACTCTTAAGTGTAACTGAACTTGTGTGGTCACAGCAAGTTTTGCTTGGAATAGGGATGTGGGGGGGAAATCTCTACAATCACTTTGGATTTGAAAAAATGTCACCTATATGCTCAGATGTTTTCCAGTTTAAATGTACAGGATGAATTAATGTTTTTTCTAATGTATGTCATGCCAGTTGAAATTAAACTACTGATGTCTTTGAATTGTGAAGTGATTTGTTACCTGCCCAAATTATGCGTGTTAGTAGTTTATCCAGGGTATGGTATCTGAATTGGCTTTTTCTCATACGTTTGTCATCAAGTAGCTGCTTTACTTTCTTTGGTAGATGCATGGGAAATTCTTTTCCTAATGGTTTTGAATTTAAGCTTGACCTTAATCCTGAGAATACTGTCACAAACCTAACATTTCTGAGTTACCTTCACACTAAAACAACTTCTTCTCTGTAAATAGTCTTTGCCATTGTGAATGAACAATGATTCTGCTATTAAAAACATCTGCAGGGTGGCTCTTGGAGTTCAGGCCATGCTTCTGAGCCCTGTTTGGACACCACTTGGAGCTGTAAGCAAAAGCCCTAGGAAAGAATCAGTGATTAGTGGCTGTGTTTACTGGTTGTGTAATGCCAGATTTGTGTAAAAGTATTTCCTGTGCTGTTACAAGCTTGAAGCTTTAAACGTTCACTCAGTAATGTTCAATAGAGTGACATTGGTTCCTGCTCCACCTTGACTTGTGTATCAACCTGCCATTGCTGCTTTTAGACTTTAGCTTCTACCTGAGGTTTCTGGTGACTCTTACAGTTCTAGCAGTCCTCTCCTCCCAGAGCCTCTGAAGTTGCCTCTTTGCAGCTGTTGTTGGATTGGGTTTTGTTGGGCTTGTTTTGCCAGTCAGTGATTTTTGGCTGCTCATTTGACAGTACATGGAGATGTGAATTAATGCACACACATTTATGATGGCTGGACAGAGCTATAGAATATTAAGATTTTGAAGGTTACTGAGAGCAGAATCTTCCTGGCATTCCATGCAAAGTTCAGCATTTCATTGTTCTTACTGTTAGAAAATATGCAACTCCATCATCTTCTTTCTTTCCTAGTGCCAACAGATGTCTGTACACTTCTGCTAATACTCAGATTTGAAGAAGTTATGATAGCAAAGATGTTTGTCTTATCTCTGAGCTCCTGTTTACCTCCAAATACAGCCTGAATTGGAAATTGAGAAGAGTACTTAGACTTTTGTGCATTAGTCCTTACTAAGTTTGTTTTGATATGTCCCACTATTGCAAAATTGTAATGTTACAGAAGGCAGAGGTTAAATCAGTATGAAAGTTCATGGTTGTCTTTTTATGGCCTTGTTTCTACAAGAAATAAACTTCAATTTGAATCAAACACTATTCATCTGAATATAAACCAAAGTACTTGCAGGGCACCTTTGACAGTGATTTGTATCAGATCTGTTGAAAACAAATTTTGGGTGATTGTCATGTGGTTTTCCTTGCTTGTTCTTTAAGTGCATTTCTGAATTTAATAATACTAATATGTTGGCTGTTAGTGTTAGCCATGAAATAAAAGCTTGTATTTATAAACCAGCTGTGGTGTACACCTGTCTGAGACCTGCTGCCATACTGCAGTTTCCATCAGGGAGTGAAAGGGAGCAGGGTGGTGGTGTTGACACAAGACCAGGTCAGTTCAGCAGCCTTGGCAGGGCTGTGTAACTCTTGGTCCAGTGTGAAGCCTTTAAATTGAAATTGCCTGCTCTTGTGTCCGTCCATGTTTTGAATAGCATGTCATGCTCATGGAGTTAATGTTTGCCAGAGTGTGCTGTTACAGCCTGGTGTATAAGCTCACTTTTAAGGTCATAAAATGCAGTTCTGGTAATTCCTGGATTATTACACGGGCTGAAAGCTGAGAAGGTGTGTTCTGGACTGGAATGGTACAAACAGTAGGATGAAGTGTCTCTAAGATGTCAGCAGAATTCAGCTGAGTGTGGTCCTGTGGGAAGTGAACTTTCTGTTCTGTGTGACTGAAGCCCTTTTTTCTCTCTCTCCCCAGGTCTTAGTGGTGCAATGGCTAGTATAAGTGTTCGCTCGAGTACCCCTGGCTCGCCTACTCACGTGAGCAGTGGCTCCAATGCTAGTCGAAGGAGAAATGGACTCCATGATGTTGATTTGAACACTTTCATATCAGAAGAAATGGCACTCCACTTGGACAATGGTGGAACTAGAAAGCGTACCTCAGCCCAGTGTGGCGATGTCATTACAGACTCACCAACTCATAAACGCAACAGAATGATCTAAACTGCAAAAATTTCAAACCCACCATGCTGCTTGAAAGCCACTTGATCCTCAGAGTACTATTGAAAAGGAAACATGAGGCCATCTTTCCATATTCACTGTTTAAGACAAAGAATTCACTAAATGCCATAAAGAAAATTTTAGATATTACATTAGATGCCTCTTGTAACTGCGGCTTTCTTAAACTATATTCTTAGCAGAGGACATCAGATATTGTGTAGTAGTTAGCAAGATCATCATAGGTGAACATGTATCTGTTCCAAGGCTAAAAGTGACCTTACTTGTATTATTAAAGGGAAAGGAAATTTCAGATGTTTATTTGGCTATAGAATTCTTTTTTTTGTCCTTTATTTCCTGCTTTGAGTATTTGCTTAAACAGTATTGCCAGTTTGACTGAAATTGTCTACAACATGACTTGGCATCTTTGTCAAAACTGCAGGCTTCCATTTTTGCAGCACTGTACCATGCACCTAGTTTCTGTATAGTAACAGTGTGCAATTTATAAATATTGGACTGTACCCTTTTTAGTTTTAAAAGCAGTTGATAATTCTGGTGATTGTGTGATAATGTAAAGAGGTGCTATGATGGTCATGCAATTAATACTTAATATTGAATCAATACAAGGATCTTTATTGGATTCACTTTGTGTGTTCTAGTGCTCTGAAGTAGCAATATTAAACTTTCCCCAATTAACTTCATAGGCTTTTAAATCAGTTTGAGAAAATATATGTACTTATTGGTATTATCCTTGTGGTAATCATACACAGTGCAGACTGCACCAGTGCTGACCTAAATTTAGAGAAAAATGTCCTGTAATTGGAAAATAGGCTTTTCTGTTCAGTATTAGTGAAGGGTAGGTTTTGTGTACACCCATATCCTATTTTACATTTCTTGTGAAGTAATTGCCCATTGCTGGGGAGGGGTGGGAGGAGAGGGAATGTGGGGAATAGTTGGAAAAGGGGTGTGTTCTAACAAGTAAGACTTCTGGTCACATGTGGAAACTTGGACTAACTTAAACAAGATTCTGTTATGCCATCCCCTTCAGGAGGGAGTGACATGCAGGTTCTGTGAAGTGCTAAGAAAATAATTTAAAACTGGAAGTTGATTATAAAACTCTGGATATACATGCTGTAAGCATGAATTGAAAAGGATAAATGGCTTTCTTTTTGTGTTTAGCTTACGTTCATAGGATTGAACTCTGGCTGCCGTAACTTAAGCATAGTCTAAAACTGAACTAGAGATCAAGACTGATCTAGATCTGCTGCAAATCTGTTTCTGAATGGGGAAGGACAGATGTCAGTCTCAGAGTGTCCTGACTATTTTTTTATGTGGAGGGAGAAAGTATTTGGTGGAGAGCTCTGGTGGAGAATAAGAAAATGAAGAGCTCCAACCCTGCACGTTGGGAAAGGGGTATTTAGAGAGGTGGGATGCATGCTTTAACTGGAAGCATTGGCTGATCCTGGGATTAAATGTAACTATGCTAGATTCCCAGTATGAAAAATTGTGGTTTCTGGTGAAGTTAAGGCACTTGAGCTCCATGTTAATACACAGCTCTTCAAGACTTTTGCTTATGTGCTTGTAGCGTCAGATCTCTTTTGTATTATCTTTGCTGTTTGAAGCAGACTTCTCTGTAGGTTTGCCCTTTTTACCTTGGTGCCCTCATTGTTGTCTGTAGTCAAGGCAAGACAGCAATGCTGTGTGAGATACTCAAGGCTCTCTACTTGAGCGTGATTTCCTTGCCTTGTGGTGCTTCCATCACATTTCTTTACACCCAAGAGCCCTTGAAGATGTCAGCAGTTGCACAGTACTGTAGTGAGAGGCTCTGTAGTTCATGGACAGCTGTCACAACTGTCCAGAGCAAAGTGGTAAGAACTGCTCCAGCCCCCACCTGTGTTACATAGCTGAACTTGCACATCACTTGAAGACTCAGTATACATTAATTTCAGTTACTGCTATTAACTACAATTCATAAGGTTTAGTTTATGTGAAATGTTAATACTGCATAAAGCTAGTTTTCATTTGGGGACTGCATTTTCAGCAAAGATTTTGAAGATGGTATCTGAATATACATTAGTATTTATTAGACTGTTGGCAGAGGGATTTTTTTGTTCTAAAAGAAAGGTGGAGTCCTGAACAGAAAGGACAGGTATGAGAACCATTCTTCAGCTCTTCTGTTTATTTTTTAACTGGCTTGTACAAGTAAGATGCTTATGCTCTGCAACTTCTAACACACTTTATTCTTGATATGGTACAGGTGACATCGTACTGGTATCAGTTCTGCACACAGGCACTGAACTGTACTAGTGCTGCTGGTCTAGCCCAAATACAGAGCCTGTTTAAATTACTTCTCCCCTTTCTTGCAGTGAAATAAATTTTGTTAATGCTCTGAAGCATTAATTCAGTCTATTGCCATCTAAAACTAAATTTGTCTGGCTTCCTATTTAATTTGTGCCATTTTTCTTTGAAAGAAAGCAGACTTTGATATTAAACTGGGTGCATTAATGTTTTTTTGCTTGTACCTTAAATATTTGGCAACTTTTGATTGTTTCTAATTTAGCCCCAACTGTTGTTTGCTCTTTGACCTCTGCCAGAATGATCAAAAATGCATGTATTCACCTGGTAAACACAGGAGAATAGGTTGTCTCTTTAAAAAAAAAAAAAAAAAAATAAAAAAAGTCCAGTACCTGTTGCTTTGAAGACTATTTCTTGTGCCAGTGTAGAAAACTGATGTTCTGGAAATAGCTCTCAGCTATTATCCAAAGTGTAGCTCCTGGAGCCAGAAGTGAGTTGATTTTCATTAAGGAACACTGACTGGAGAGCTGTTTAGTTTGGTAAAAATGGTGCTTACTTTTGCTTTCTCCTCTGACTCGTGCAGTTGCCCGGTCTCTTCTCCATGTACATCCAATCTAACCTGAATGTGCGGCAGTTACATAAAGTACATCCTGCACTGAAGCTACTGAGCTTGGCTTGCTTATTAATGAAGTAAGTTTTAAATGTTCAATTTAAATCTATATTACAATAAAGTAATGCAAAAATGATTTTGGTTGAAATTGAAGTCCTGCAGTTAAACTTACTTTCAAATGTGGTTTACCCAGCTGGAGTAATAGAAACTCTTAAGTCATAATAAACCTAATAAAAAAAAATACAACTAATCAGACTGCTTCGTAGTTCTTTTAAGTTTCTGAATAATACAGGCCATGGGTAATCCCAGACAAGTTGTGATTAGTGTGGGCTGACAGGCTGCCTTGTTTGTGTGGATCAGGACTTTCCTTGAATGCACTTTGGTAGCTGTTCAGTGTAGCTTACACACAGGTTTTTGTTTTGTCCCCTTTGGACAAATAACCATACAAAAAATTGGGGTGTACTACATTTGTACAAGATGTTCTGCAGACTTCAACATCACTAATGCTTAAAAGAAGCATCTTAAGGAGATTTGAGTGGCATAGTTTAGGAAGTGAAGTGGTGTTGACTTCAGTAGTAGCGCTTTCCAGTCTTTTGCAACTGACTCTTTGGACTTAAGTGAAATCAGGTGCTTTAATTAGCAGGTTTTCCCGTTTCATGTGGGTGCCCTAAACCTGCAGACTATTTTCCACTGTTTTATCAGCAGGTTTTAAATTCCATTATGAAGGAAAGCTTTATTCCATAGGAGCTTTCGAGTTTAAAAAGTAATCTTTTTAATTTGCGTTAACATTTTTTCACTTGGCCACCGAAATGTTCCGGCCGGAATTTACAAGGATTTTTCAATGGCTTCTGAAACCCAGCATCTTTCAATTATTAGCCTAGAGCTGAGTTATCCTTTGGCAGAGATGAGGAATGCACACCTGATGTGTTCTGTGGGGTTCTGTGCACCAGCTGGGGCTGATGTGGTTTTGTGGGGTGGCCACAAGGCCCCGTGGGCTGCTCATTCCAGAGCCTCTGGTTGTGCAAGGTCAGGGCCAAGGCCCTGGCACTCCTTGTCTGTGCATGGGGCTCCTGGGGATAGATGGAGCCTGGGGAATTCCCTGGGAGCCCTGAGCCAACACTGGTGCTTTCTGCTGCCCTGAGCCCCTCTCAGACTGTCCCAAAAGGACAATGCACATGGGCTGTAGTGAATAAACCAGCCAGAGTCCCTTCTGTGTAGGAGCACGCAGCACCCACCTGGCTCTGGGGGCTTTTATAAAAGATGGAAGCCAAATGTTTCTCAGTGGGTAGTGAGATTGCAGCATTTCCTGTGTGACTTGGGCTGGTGTTGCTGCTGTCCCAGCAGTTACCAGGGTTTGGAACACCAGGACTGTTCACTGGTCACAATGGGATGTGAGGGGGGAGTGCACAAAGTACCAGGATCTCATTGGAATCTGCTGTGAGCCCTTTGGGCACACACTGCCTTGTGGAAAACCTTAAAAATCAGTATTAAATGCATCAATCAGCTGGTTAAAACAGCATGTTAGACCAGTCATAATCATGTTTTGTAATATCTCACAGTTTTATCAGATTTATTTTAAGGTGAAATTGTCTCTGATGCTGTAGAGCAGCAAGCTGTGCATAAAGGGGAATCCTGGGGTCCCTGTTGGTGTTGTCGTGGTGTAACAACTTTGCATCTTAGGAAAACTCAGGATGCTTTTCCAGCTCTGAAACTCAAGCCATGAGAATTTTTTTTTTTGGTACTTTGAACACCTGGTGTGTTTTTTACAAAACATCAAATCAGAGGATACAAAACTGCATTTAAACTATGCTCAGAACCTTGTTCTGTTTCTATTGGAGTTCTCACAGGGCCATGTCCAGCTCCTGCCCATGCAGCCCTGTGTACCTGTGCTCACAGTGCTGCCCAGTCCACAGCTTAGAGTTTGTTACTTTCCTGGGCATTTCCATTTTTATATTGCTGTTTAAACCTAGCTTTCTTGTTTTGAAGTGAATTCCTTGGGTGTCATCTATAATGGGGTATGTGAGATCAAGATGGGGAGAGAATAACAAATTCTGCTCTATGAGTAATTACTTGATCTCATAAAACTAATAACTTACAGTCTCTACTGTTACCTCTGCAAAATGATGGTTTCTAGATCACTTTCAAACCCCAACAATCTCTGCATCTTTGGTGTGCTTTAGCCAGTCTTGTGGCTGTTTTTAAAAATTAGCTGCTGTGCTTTTTTGAATATATTTCAAATTTCAAGGCTCTGGGGAGAGAGCTTCACTGTAAGTTTGCAAGAGTGATATTGCCATATCTATTTCATAGAGTATAGCTGAAGATAACTAATGCTGTCTTCAACAAAAGTGTTCTAATGCCTGTTTTCCTATTCTCTCTGAAATCCCCAACAAAACGAAATACATGGTTTATGTTTAGAGGTGAATGAACTTCTCAACTGAAGGGGGCCATCTTCTAGAGACTTGCATTGAGTGCCCTGCTGGTAATCCAACTGTTAATTCTACTCAGGGAACTATATTTTGTATTTTTGCTTTCATCTCTAAGCTTTTCTGCTGAAAAAGCTCACTCAGTGAAACCTGTTTTTTCGTGCCTACGTTTAAATTACTTCCTGTGGAAGAGCATCTGTGATCTCCCATAGGGTAGGAAGGCTTTTTTCCTCTCCCTGGAGAAATTGTTGTCCTTAATGTGAATCACTGAAGATGCATGTCTTGCTGTTAAAATGAATTTTAAAGTCTTTGATTTAAGTGATTGCAGTTTTCAGAGCAGGAATCTGCTGAAGATGCTCTGGATGTTGTAGCTGCAGAGGCTTATGTGCTTCCAGATGACAGTGCAGGGATGTAACTCATTTGGAGTCTGAGATTTTTCATTAAAACCTGATTTGTCTGTAACTGCTTGTTTTGTAACAGCTTCTGCTGTAGTCTCACCAGAATTCAGAATTCCTTAGGCCTAGATGCATATCCCAGAATATGAGCAGTTCATCTGTCCTGTGTAGAAGTTTTCCAGAAAAATGGGTTCAACATATACAAATCCCAACAACTGGGTCTTTAATACTTCCAGCACAAGACCTAAGAGTTCCCTTCAGAGTAAGTTTCCAGGTTGACTTGATCTTTCCTGATTGACCCACAAGCCTTGTCTGCATCTGGTTTTCTTCCTCCTGTGTGTGACCATACCCGAGAAGCTTCTCCCTGTGCTGAACACAGCCTGTCTGAAGGTCCAGATGTTTCTGGTAAGTGCTTTTACATAATTTGTGGTTGTTTTTCCAAGTTAACATAATCTTGGATTGCCTGCAGGTTGTGGGGCTTTCACCCCTGTTCTTGGACTTGCTTTGGGCAGAGATTGGAGCAGGTAACCTCTCAGCCTCCCTTTCCACCTGAATTAGTCTAAGATTTACTCTGTCCTAACTTTTTCATCACAGTTTTATCTGTGAGGGGGTAAAAGGCATTGTTGTCCTTGCTGCTAAGCCATACCTACTGCTCAAAACACTGACCACTGGTAAGAGCAGGTAAATTTTCCTTTCCAATGAGGCACATGCTCCTCTGGAAACTTAAAAGTAGTCATCAAAATTGCTACTCCTAAGTATGGGTAACCCTTCAAAGCAGAAACCAATCCCAAATTTGACACCGTGGATTTCTTTTCTCCATCTTGCACATTTCATGAGCTTTGAAGTAACTGAGTGGATTTGGGCTGGATTGTGAAGGTGCAGGTGTGTGCTGGGGGTTTGTCACTTGATGGAAGCATCACCTCCAAAGGAAGGAGAACATTTGCCAGAGCCTGGTTTTGATAAAGGCATAAAAATGCCATTTTCTAAGGGCTGAAATTCCAATTAAAAGTTTCTCAGTGGTTCTGTATTAAGGCCAAGCCTCCTCATTCATGTTTTGGCAGATTGACAACTAATGCATTGAACTGGGGAGTGAAACGCTGTGTATGTTGGATTCTGTTAATGTGCTTCTGGTGTGATTTGATAAGGGCAAAGGACAGAACACTGAGGATTAGATACATAATCAGTTAAGGCTCTAAGTCTTGCTATGTCCATTTCTTCTATGACTTATTGAGAGACTCTAACCCTGAACTTATATCTGTTAATTGTTTTGCACAAACTTTGGATATTGCCTGAAAACAAGACACCGAATTAGTTAATTCTGTTTCAGCCTAAAATCTCCAGAAGTTCAGATTTTTTGAAGTTGTTCCAATGCCTCAGTGAGCCCAGATTGTGCACAGATGGTCAGCAGGAGATGCTGAAGAATAGAAGGAATAAGTGATGTGCAAGAGGTGGCACAAGGGTGCTGGAAGGTGAAGAGAGATTTCCTGTGGGCTCTCATTGCCCTCAGCTTCAATAGCTCTGGGCTTAGACTGTAGGTTTGTATTCCTGCTGGCCCTGGTTCAGCATTGGCTGTAGTTGCCAATGGATGGCTTGGGTGACTTCAAAAAGTCATTTTTACAATGATCCATGTGCAGTATTACTTAGAGCTATGCAAAGCCAAGTGGCCTAAGTTCCCAAAAAAAGCCTGATGCAATGGTATGGAAAGGAATCCTTTCTCCTTTTTAAGTCTATGGCTTTGGTTCGTGGTTTAGGCTCAGTGGAGGCATCTCTGTGTCACAGGGGATTTCATGGGAGTGATGCTGAGCCTTTAAAATACCTTCCAAGTTTTTTAAAGCCATGCAAAGAGCCCTTGGAATTATTTAGATGCTATGTCTAGTCCCTTTACCCCTTTGAAAACCAGTCCTTCAGCAAACAAAAATAATTCTTCAGGTGATTCTTGCCAGCGATTTTGCAATGTTCTTTGTAAAACAAAATGCCCAGAGTTAAGTAACAAGTGCTGTGCTCAGAGGCAAGCAGGTGATGGCTCTAAAAAGTGGTGATCTGCTGTTGCTGCACTGAGAATCTCATTGCTCTGAGAAAAAAAAACCCAAGCTGCCTGACCACAAAAATGAAGGTTTGGTCTGAAGAATGTACAATTATGTGTCAGCTGTCCCTGGCCTGTGTTGCAGGGCAGGATGGCAGCAGTGCTCCTACCAGGAGGCTGGAGAAAGCACAAAGCACCAGGAGCTCTCATCTGCTGCCTTTCCAACCTGCCTGGCAAGCACTTGAGTAGGTGTGAATAAGGATCTCCTGAAGGAATACAAAAAAGGGCCACCAGGGGCCATCACCTTGAACTTGCCCTTTCAAGTGTTATCTATAAATACGGTTCCCCAGAGCAATCCAGCTGGCACCCTCTAGTCAAGCTCATCATGATCTCAGATAAAACTATCAAG